GGGGGAGGCGGCCCTCAGCCGCCCGGCCCGGCCGCCCCGCCGCCCCTGGTACCGAGTCGGAGCCGTGGTCCTGCAGAAACTTGATAATGTCCTTCTTGGGCAGCTGCTCGCTGCGCAGCTGCTCCACGGTCCAGGCCCGCTGCGGAACGGCGGACGCCATCTTCCCCCGCTGCCCCCGCTTCACTGAACCAGCCCGCCGCCGCTCGGCGTCGCCCCGCCCCCGGGCGTGGCCTGGCCCGCACGCACTCGAGGGGCTGGGCTCCCGCGAGACTGGGCGGCCGCGGGCGCGTCCTTGAGTGATGGGCAGGCTGTCCTGTGGGGGCTGCTCTGCGGCGTCCGGGGGAGAACCGCGGCTACGCGGAGGGCCGCGCGCTGTCGCTGACTCGTACCTGGAGCCGCCGTGCGGCGGCGTCCGATGGCTGTGCTGTTTACCGGCCACTCCCACACTGTCTGTCACCGACGGGCTGCTCGGCCTGTGAACTCTGCACCCGCTTTAAACGGCAGCATTCAGACATCTCACCCCGTTTTACGTAGTTCGAGCCTAAAACTGCACCCCGGAGTTGGCTCAGTCCCTGTCCGTCAGAACAACCCACGTCCCACCATCTCCCTTTAAAAGTCACAACTGAAACTAGAGCACAACTTGTCGTCTCCCCAAAATACAAACTCACGGGCCACAGTCCGAGTAAGGCAAGTTCAGAAACCTGCCCGGATAAACGGGAGGACGCTGCAGCAGGAGGCCGTCCGCGGACGGCGCGAGGGGACGCCGGCGACGCCCGGAACGCTCGGGCCGTGTCCGCGCGCCCCGGGGACAGGGGACGAGTGCACGCGGGGCGCTCAGCGCGGGGCCGGGCGAGCGTCGCTGGAGCGGAGCGGCCACCCCGCCGCCGCTGAGGGAGGCGGGACGCCCACTCCTTTCTCTCGGAGTTTCCGGGGAATAACAGGACCGCTCCCCTCACCCCCTGTTAATCATAAAAACATCAGGACAAGGGGTTTCCACCCCTAATAGTGAGGAGGAGGACCTGGCGCCTGTGTCCTCGGCCTGGAGGGCGGAGTGAGAGCGGACAGCAGTTCTGTCTGATCGCCTCTGCTGCTCGCCTCGTCTTCCGATTCAGCAAGACAGCCCACGAGGAATAAGGCCCGTTAGACGCTCAGTAACGTTACGTTCACAAAGACATGGGTACCCATTGTCGCCGGGATCTTTTTTTTTTTTTAAGATTTTATTTATTTATTTTTCCCCCAAAGCCGCAGTACATAGTTGTCTGTCATAGCTGCACATCCTTCTAGTTGCTGTATGTGGGACGCGGCCTCAGCATGGCTGGAGGAGTGGTGCCTCGGCGCGCGCACCCGGGATCCGAACCCGGGCCGCCGGCAGCGGAGCGCACGCACCCAACCGCTAAGCCACGGGGCCGGCCCTGTCGCCGGGATCTTAAAGTCATTTATTTTTCTCATTTTGAGCGATTCCACTTCAGCAACGACGCTCGGACACCTCGTCATGGGAAACGGAATTCAAATTCAGAGTTTACAAAAAACTGAAAGGCCGCCCTCGTTTAGAGCCACTCAATGGCAATGCGCATGCGTCTCCGGGCGGGCCGCGAGGGCTTCCCGCGAGCCGGCCAATCATATTGCCCGCGCAGACGCAGTGGCGGCCTTTCCAACGGGGCGAGCCGGCCGCGGGCCCGCCTCCGGCTCGCTGTTCGTGGGAGGGGGCCGATGGGGGTTGGGGCGGTGGCGCCGGAGCTGCCGCGGCTGCCGGCGTCCGAGAGGAGCCTGGGGCGGCCGTCGGC